CTGAATTGGTTCCAGATTGGAGGGGAAGTGATCTGGGCTTTCTTAACTCTATGAGAACCTCACCCAAAGAAACCCACGCATGGAAAGTCCGTCTCAGACGCCGTCATTGTGACATACTGGATATTAAAACTCCTTTTAAATGGAGGATTCATCATCGTTTCCATGTGTCCAATAAGAAAACGAGGGCTGTGGTGGGAGATTTTACTACAAGGCAACATCTACTGTTCATGTTATAATGAACTCTAACCAAATGAACCTGTTTGGAATACACACAAAAGGTTGGATATTGTTTTCCTGCAGCAGCATGGGAGCCAGACCGTCTCTCTCTTGTTTTAGATCCCTTATCCTTTGTATAAAACCCATGTGTTGACTCTGCTTCAGAGCTGCTTCATTATTTACTGTTTTATAAGCTCTCTGTATTGTGCACAAAATGCAGATAAACCTGTTTGAGTGATTTTTTTAGTGATTTATCAGCCACATACTGACATCATCTGTTCTGAGGCTAATAAATGTGATGGAAAGGTTAAAGTTGAACCAAAAATATTTCTTGAAAAAGCATCAAAATGTTGGCAGAACCTATTTTAATTGTTTAAATCAACCAGAGAAAAGTGGATCCAGTCAAATATAGAGAGATGTTAGTTTTTTGTATAAGCATTTATTTCTTTTATGTTTGATCCAAATCAAGTTTACTTTCATAGCACATTTTAGAAATAAGGCAGTTCAAATAAAAAGTCATAAAAGCAACAATCACCAACTGAGAAACCAGTAACAAACATTACATTTTACATTTTGAGGTCCATCATCCATATCATCAACACACATCATGTATTTGATGTTTGACGATTTTGGTTTGATGATTAAAACCCCAAAATTCTGAGATATACCCAACAAGAGAACTGTGGACCAACTGGAAAGCATGCATGTCCTGAACATTAAATGAACTCAGATCTGACTGGGACTCCTTTTGCGTGAACTACTGCATCAGTGCGGCGTGGCATGGAGACCATTAGCCTGCAGTTCTGCTGAGGAAGCCCAGGTTGCTTTGGTAGCAGCTTTCAGTTCTCCTCCTGGCTAACCGGTGACGCCATGGTCATCTCAGCAGGTATTGGTTTCTATTGCTGGATAGAAAGGTTCAGAGTCTTGCTGGAAAATGCAGCCAGCTTCTCCATAAGCAGAATGCCAGCAGAACGAAGCATGAGGAGCTCGAAGAAGCCTAGAAGTCCTGACTTTGGACTTCATTAAACACAGCACACAGCTGATGTGGCTCCCCAAAGCCATTTTGACTGGGAAAACTTCTTTTTTAGCCCAGATAGAATGGTTCAGATGTCTCTGGTTCAGAAGTGGCCTAATGAAAGGAACGTGACCGTTGTAACTTAGCGACAGTGTGTGTTGGCTGCTTGAAGCACTGACTCCAGTCCAAGCCCTGTGAATCTGCCCCTAACATTTGAAAGAGCTTTGCTTTATCATCCAAAAGGAGTTGTTTGTGAACTTTTCCCTACCATGTGTCCTTTGATCATGTGTCATGTTTGACTAGATTCTCTCTGTCTGCTCTTGCCTTTACTTCCTGTTTCTCTCTCTACTTCCTCTTGATGTTTTCCCATTGGTCCCACAATGGGCCAGCTGTATTTTGGTATTAATAAATCTAAATCATAAATTCAACTCACTGACTCTTCTTCAACCTCACACATTAAGAACCGAGCTGGAGAAAGAATAATTCTCCAGGTAGTTAAACACAGAATTCAGAAGTTAACAAAGTCAAGACTGAAAAGAACTTAAGGACTGTCAGCCATTTTAAATGATGTTGTTATGTAAGGTTTAATGACCAAGGAGGAGCACAGACTTTCCTGCCACCAGTTTACAGACTCCAAACAAAGCCAGAAGACCTTGCAAACAATGTTTGTAAAAAAGAAAAAAAATAGAGAGAAGTGGTTTAATAACTCATAAAGGGCCAGCAGAGGCTGGGTTGTAACATCTGTGTGATGTGATACAGTGTAGGTGTAAGCATTCCATCATATCCACTAAAGGATGGCATTTATCATGTTCAGTAGACATCTCTTTACCACTCAGTCTAAAGGTGGTCAAGTTGACAGACAAAGCTAGGAGATTACTGGTCTTGCAAATACAAAGAGAGCTCATGAGTCAGATGTTTAACTTAATACTGCAAAACACTGCCTGAGATTCTGATTTGCTGGTATAGACAACCAGATCCGGTGTGTATCTGTTGGATAAGCAGCAGAGTGGGCTGGGAGGGTTAAACATTGAGGTCTGAGCCTCAGTAAACACAGCAGGGTTGTCTTGAGTAAGCGTTCTTAGGGGCATCTCGGTTCCCAAAAGAAAATCTGAGATCATCTGCAGTTCCAACAGGTAGTCATTTTATTGAAGCTCTAGGCGACACGTAACACGATTACGCCTTTGTAATTGACCTCTCTGGAAAAATTAGACAACGTGGATCTCATGTTACCAAAGTAAAAACTTGTCTCTGTTTGATTGTGTAAACATGTCTGTTAGTTTGAAAACGATCTGAAACAAAGCTGTGTGTAAAAGCTTGAGGTGTCTTATGTAGTTTTCCTCGAATAGCCGTAGGTGTTCCTCAGGAACCAGGTCTCAGGCTGCTCTTATCCACATCAACAAACTTGGTCTAGGATAACCAAGCACTACGTTCTATTTTTAATCTGACAATACTGCGATGTTCTCTGTTGCAGACATTCAAATGTTCGACTACTCCAAATGACTTGGCGACATTTGGGATTCCTAGTAGAATAAATGGTGGCACAGTAACAGACAAGATACAAGGAATATATTGTTGAGGAGCTGAAGGAGGCAGGAGGCAGCGCTATAACTATGACAGACAAGACACAGCATCAATTTTATCTTTGACGTTTTTTTATTTTAAAGTAATGCTAAAGTCACATTCCGTTTTGTGTTTGTAGAATCAATATTGTGTCTCGTCTCGTTTTCTGAGTTTTAGGTCTGTACAGTCAAGAAGTGTGGAAAAAGTGAAGGGGTATAAATGCTTTCTGCCATTAAAGATAAGCTTTTCTTAACATTAAGACACATTTATTGCAGGTTCTGTTTCCAGAGGTTTTATTCTTGGCTTGCTTTTTGCCTGTTGGAAACATGAGACAGGCTGAGGCATTCACATGTGTGAATGTTGCTACAGTGGTAGAGCATATGGCTTTAGGGGAATCATATCCGACATGTTGTAACTGGGCCGCTCCTCTAGAAACACTGGAAAAAATGCTGCCAAGGACAGTAATTACTGCTCAGAAATGACGAAGCACAGTCAACGCACACGTCTTACACATTTCTTGGTAAGTGTTGCTTTAATTGGATTCCCAGAGGACATATGTAGCTGTGATTGAGCCCTCATATCCTGCAGAATAACACTAGATGTTATTATGGAGCTTTCACTGACCTTGCTGCATTTTACTGAAAAGCTGGAAGTGATGGCAGGGCATTTCCTGCTGTGGTGGTTGCTGTTTGTTGTAGTTCATGCATATGTTTATTAGCTGTTGAACATCATATTTACTAGAAAGTGAAAACTATTCAAAGGATTGTGAAGAAGTCCAACTGCAAAGAGCTAACAATAAAAAAGCTCCAGCACTTTGGTAAAGTGTTTAAACCCTCTGAACTTTCAACATGTTGTCATGATACAACCAGAAACTTCAATGTACATTGGTATTTTTTGTGGCAGACTGACATAAAGTAGAACCTTGGGCTGTTTGTGTTTTACAACAGCCCAGAACTGAGACCAATGAAAATCTGAAGGCTTGAAACTGATGTTCAGAGACGCTCATCATCCAATCTGACTGAGGTTGGAGGTTTTGCAAAGCAAATAAGCGAGAGTTTCTGTCTCGAAATGTAAACATGTCTACCCTAAAACACTTAAAACTTTACTTGCAGCGAAAAATGTTTCTACACAGCATGGTATCATGACTGAATACAAATGCATAGCACACTTCTTAAATTTTTATCCAAAAGAAAGTAAAAAAAACAACAAAAAAACAAATGCATCAGTTTAATTTCTCTTCAGAGAAGAAAAATGAAAATTATGACTTTTTCAAACACAGCAAATCACAATAAAATATGGCTGTGAAGTGACAAAATAAAAAAAATGAATGAATATTTTTGAAAAGTACTATATTTGTCTCTCTCTAGTGTAACGAATTACGATTCAACATGAATGACAGTGCTCCTACTATACCGCTAAAACCTGTACTTCAGTTTCATTTCAAGGATTCACAATGCTCATATATATCCAATCTGCACCATAACTGATGCACTTATCAGGAACAAATCACCTGGTGCAACGTTGTCCAAAAACACTTCGATAAATACAGTGCTGTGAGAAAACTCCCGCTATTTCTCAGAGCTTGACGCCACCTAGTGTTTACTGCTTAAACTGACAAATGAATGACAGTAATAGACTGAAATGTCCACCGCAATGCATATCTGCTCAGTTGCTTTGTTGCATTGCTTAGATCAAAATGAAAATTTTCATAGTTACTTGTTCAATCTTAAAATCAATGCATCACATGTGCATATAAAAATATTTTCTTTTTTCTTTGAACATCCAAGTGATCCAAGTGATTATGTACAATTTTACAATTTGTGCCCTTTTCTATTTTCAATTGCTTATGTCACGTTGATTAAAATGTGTCAGGATATGGGCTTCAGCAGAACAGCAAACTTCTAGAACTCCACTTTTTACAGAGGGTAGTCTTAGTCATTACTGATTATTTGCCAAAATTGGCAAATAAACTACTGGCGGGCTTCAAAATCCATTTAATTAAAAATACAAAAATGTGTTTATTGTGATTTTTTTTTCCTGCTCTACAATAAATCTAAATTTTATGGAATATACCATTAAAGATTCTTGAAAAGGCGTTGGACAGTTGCAAATAATTTCAAATTCCTTTAGGTCTATTTTGTGGGGCAATTGTATTTATTTATTTATTCATTTATTTATTTACCATTTTTGACAGAACAAAACCATTTTAAAGGCCACAAATGACCCTCAGGCCACACTTTGGACACCCTGCACAAATGCTTAGTGCAGGATGTCCAAAGTGTATTAGGTGTCACTTGTCCTCTTGGGAAAAACGTTCTTCTCAATATTTTTTATCAAAAGTTTGCACCTTTAACTAATTACAAATACGACTGGACAAACATTATTAGTAGTGGTTCTATTCCTTAAAAGGTAAAGTAGGCGGTCCGAAAAGTGACGTAGGAGGGTCAAAGGTTGTTACGTACGTAACGCGTGGTGCTTTGGCGCCAGCAGATTTCGCGGGGTATCAGCAGCACAGTGAACTGTAAAGCACAACCACTAAGCATCAATAACCCAGGTTAAAGGCTGCATCGACGGGTTCAGGCGGCCCGGAGAGGAGCGAGGCACTCGGTGAAGAGAGCAGAGGTGTGCCGCGGGAAAGTAAAGCGTCTCCGGGCTTTCATGGTGGGTCCTTATCCCATCTGACAAGCAGGAGGTGAGCACACAGAGTCGGTGTGGTAGCCAGCAGTGGAAGCAGGCAGGCTCATGTTGCTCAGGTGAATGTTAAGGTGTTCGCTTTTTGCAGGATGAAGGAAGCTCCTCGGTGAGCTGCCTGTAGAAACCCCAGAGTGTGGCAGAAAGCAACAACTAGCTGGATAAAGTGCACGTAGCCTGCTAGCGAGGCTAACTTAGGGCAGCTAGTTAGCAGGCTGTCAGCAGAGTTGGTGGAAACCTGTCAGTATTCAGTTCAGACATGGACAGACAGACGGGCCTGTCACCGTAACTCGTGTCCACGCGTGTTTGTGAAGTATAACCGTGATGTTTGTGTGTCCCGTTCGCAGCTGTGGAGACGGGAGGTGGACACAGCTGGACACACGGCTCTGAGAGGTGAGGAGCTGCGGCTGTGGACTCCTCAGTCCTGAAGATGTTTGGTGTTCAGATGAAACCTCTGAGCTAAAAACACCAAACCTGCAGCTTCAAACTGAAACCGCCCGGCTAACGGCTCAGACCTACAGTTTGGTCAGCAATTAATGCAAAAGCAAACGTGTTAAACGGAGGTTTTCCATCATGTGTTTAGATTCAAAAAGTAGGAGCGTTGAGGCTTCTTTGAGAATTGTGAAAACGCTTGCTAAGGCTGATTATAGTCGAAAGTAAATTATTTAGATGCCTAGATGTCTACTGTATCTGAATTGTCTTAATTAGGTTAACTTTACACTTTTTTTTTCTAAATGTGAAACCAACTTTCAAGTCTTTTCGTGATTTATAGCTGCTGTATTTTTCCCACAGTTTTTAAAAAGCAGTCGGCAAATTTACGGAAAATAATTCAAACTTGCACATCATGGTGTGTAAATGGGTTTTAAATGATTATGTATTTGCTTGCTCCCTAAAAACACAGGCTTTCTAGAAGAAGATTAATTAACACAATTCAGGACATGAGATTACAGCGTAACCCACCAGAGAAATAGTTTCCTCACCAAACATCACTTGAGTTGAATCCTGGAAGATGGATCAAGTACATGAATGCAACTAAATAAAGTAGCGTAATGTTTAATTCTGTGAATGAGCGCGACGTTTGAAGTCCTCACTAAAAACCAATTCTGGTTCAAATCACATGGAAAACAATTGAAAACATGCATTTTGGGGGCAGCTTAGTCTTGAAACGCTCTGAAGCCTGTGTCGAAACGTTCCGTATGTTCCCAACTTCACCAGTCCTCAGTCTTTAACTAAGGACTACAGCGCACCTTCACCTGACCACTGTTCAGCATTTGCAGACTTTTTCGTGGAACGTAACTTTGGATTATTGGTGTATAAACAACCTATTTCGGGATGTGTTGAAAAAATATTTGGGGGGGAAAAAAAGAAGTAGCTCGGGAAACTATGAGAAATAGACGTAATGATGCGTGACATGCAGCACTCCCCCAGAAGCCCTGCTAAGCCTGCTAGAGCAGCCCACCGCTTCCGCTTTTTTGTGCTAAAAAATTTTAAAAGTTACAGAAACTCAGACATGTACTAGCAAGCCTCATAATTTAGAAATAAGTGTGCAGAGCTGGCGCATCCCTTTGTCCCAGTTCAATGTGTCAACTACAAACCTAGCTTAATCCGTCTTTACTATTTCTGTTGTGTAAGGAACCTTATTCAAAATAAGCAAACAACGCTTAGCCTGGTGGGGTGGCAAGTGAAGTCTGGTGGCCTGCCAGGCTTATAATAGACTGGGGGAAACCCTGCTCATAGATCCTTCCATCAATCCAACCTGAATTTTTTTTTTTTTTATCAGAGGCGCCTGGTGGAGGTGAGGAATAATGATGGCTACTGCTGGGCCTCCCAACACCTCCAGCTTCCTCCCTCTGTTGGAGACTCTGGAGGATGGTACGACCGGACAGTCGGAGCAGACGGACGCCTACCTGACCATCGCCAAGTGAGTCTCCTGCTGTGTTACTCTGCAAGTCAGACAGGGAGAAACTAACCCATCTTTGTGTTTTCCAGTCGCCTCAGTGGGGAGGAAGGCCGCCAGTTCCTCCCAGCAGTGGAAAAGGACTTCTCACGTTTGGGTAAAGTCATACTGGTGAGTCTTGAGCCCATCTATTGTTTACGCTGCCCAGTTAATGCGTGGAAAACGTTCTTGTTCACCCTGTGATCTCCAACCTGATTAAAACTGGTTTGGATGCTGCTGTCATTTGGTATCTGACACTTTTAGGTACGAAATGAATCCGTCTGCTGCGAGATGAATTATGCTAACGATGCAGAAAGTAGCACCTGTCGGGCAGATGTTATGTACCCACACAACCAACATAAGTCATTTTTTTTAATTTAGTCATTTTTAGGCCTGTCACGATGAGCAATAAATCTCTCGCCAACAACAGTCTACTCAAAAGTGGTGGTTGCGGTGTTGCTTTTGATGCAAATCCATTCGTGGATTTGCATCAACAGCGAACGCGGTGACCCTCCAATCAAATCGCTTGCAGGCGGCACACGACTTGTGCCTCTGCTGAGGAGGCTTAGAGAAACGGGGAGGAAGTGTACAGTATCTGAACATGGATGTGAATCTGGCCAGGGCCGTCTGAGGAAGAAAGGAGTTTTTGAGAGGCAAATGAGACCGTCTTCCAGGTTTCTGGAGTGTGGGAGGAAGCTGGGGTAACCAGAGAGAAACCACAGATTCACATGGAGAACATGCAGAATCCTTCCTGATTGGGGATTCATGCCCTAATGCTTCTTGTTGTCGATGCTTAGCATCCAATAACCAATGACTGAAAGAAAAATACAGAGATGTAATCAAGCCAAAACTATTTGTACATATATTTTTATTTTTTGAATTTAGGATGAAAGTAATGTATGCAAATATTCTATCAGTAATTCTTCATGTGGCAGTTTTTAGCTTTACTTGGTTCGAATTCTGTAAAACAAGCAAAACTCGTTTTAATAACCTTCTGCTATCCAACTATTTATTTTATAATCCAAAATATAATCACCAGATCAGCCATATAAGTTGATATAGTGATATAAGTTTTTGTTTTGTTTTTTTGCTGCAGATTCATTGTTTTTGCATTTTAGGGAAAAATTGCCAAAATAATCATTAGTTGCATCTCTGCAACAATGCGACCAACTTCACCAATATTTTTATTAATCATATCCTCACTGTGAATTTAGCTGATTAGCTTATTGATTGTATTTCATATATTGATTAAGCTAATTGATCAAATGTATTACTAGCTTTTCAATTGGTGACTATAAGTTGTTTTTATGACTTTAAGTTTTGTGTTTTTATGTTGTAAAGCACTTTGAATTGCATTTTTTTCTTTTTTTTTTCCTGAAATGCGCTCTACAGATTAACTGGATTGGTTGATAGCTTCTTGCTGATTGTATCATAATGTACACATTGGTTTTTTTTACTGCTTACATGGGCAATGATTGGAGTTATTGTGACCTGATGTTCTGTCTCTGTCATTTCCAGACCCACACAAGCAGCTCCAATGCCGAGCTGAGTCAAGCTGCCCTCCAGGCTTTAGGGTTCTGTGTGTATCACTCCCAGGTGGTTTCCGGAGTCTCCGGTCAGTGGTTCTGATCCGCCGCACGGTTTGAACTTCGGTCGTTTTGTCGTCACTGCTCAGTGCGACTCCTCTGTTTTTGCAGAGATCTTCGCAGCTCAGATACTGTCGGCTCTCTGCTCCCTGGTGACAAAGTCCACCGACAAGAACACCTGCACCAGAGCCTTATGGGTCATCTCCAAGCAGAGCTTTCCTGCAGACGTAGTCGGCAACAGCGTGAGCGTTGGCGTTGATCGGTGTTGACTGGTTCCTCCGTGAGCTAGAAGATACAGACTGCTTGGTGTTGTTTATCTCAGGTGCCGACTCTGCTGGCTGCTTTGGAGACCGTGTGGAACAGAGAGGACATCCAGTCCACAGTGATGGAGCACGAGGCCCTGAACGTGATCATCAGGTCAGATCCTTGTTCTGCTGGTCACTTTGCAATGGTGGACAAATTCTCAGCTCTAGTGGTGGAGTAAAAAAGTATTGATACTCATGGTCAAAGTTTACTCAACTACAAGTAAAAATTAGCCGTCAAACTCTTACTGAAGTTAAAGTACTGAAGGACTTGCTTTTGGAAATGCTTAAATATTCAAATGTCCAAATTATATTTTCTAATATCAGTACACATTTTTTTCTTTTTAGTTCTTTTACAGAATCTCGTAACTTGCTGAAACCATCTGATGATGAACTAACATAGAAACACTCTGGTACAGAAAGGCTACACCATGTGGAAAACCTTCAGCATAAAAACGCAATAAAAATGACAGCTATTTCATTTTTATCTAGAATAATAATAATAAAAAAAAAACTAACAAAAAATGTTCTTCCCACAAACTACAAAGTGCAGAATTGAAGTAACTGTACTCTGTTACTGTCCACCGCTGCTTCCTGGTCACTTCCTGTTTCCAGCTCTGACCTCCTCTCCTCATCCTCTCTGCTCGCCTCGTTTCCAGGCTGCTGGAGCAGGTGCCGACCCTGATGTGTGACGGCGCGGTGCGGTGGGCGAAGCTGATCGTCCCCCTGGTGGTGCACTCCGCCTCCAAGGTGCGTCTGCGCGCCGCTGCCGCCTTGGAGATGGGCATGCCTCTGCTGCTGGCCAAACAGATGGAGGTGGCTGCCATCATCGAGCCAATGATGTCCACAGTGAGTTTCTCTCTGCCTGTGTGTTCATGTGACGTATTGCGGTGGATAAAACCAGTTGTGATGAATTAAACTGTGATTGTTCTCACAGAAACTGATCCCAGAGCTGCAGAAGCTCTTCATGTCCAAGAATGAAACCAACGTCCTGAAGCTCTGGCCGTTGTTCGTGAAGCTTCTTGGGAAGGTAAAGCATCTCTTCCGAGTGATGGCTGATGTCTCAACACATGAATATGACTGAAAACATTGTGCTCTGCACAACCTAAAGCACAAAACAAGAGGCTCAGCAGGTTACATAAAGCAGCCTCATTTAGATCCGTCTTCTGAGTCCCAGGTTGAACTTTTGCAACTGTGAAGCTATTTAAATTTGAAGAGGATTTCTCCCGCTGCTAAAACAGTGCTGGTTCTGATGTCGCTTATTAACTGGTCCATTAAAAACTCAGCAAACGACTGGTTTGGTTTAACTAGAGCCAGAAAGTTGGCTGAAAATCATGTCAAGTCCACGGTGAATCAATGAAAGTGAATGTTTGATCCTCACTCTGGGTTTTGTCATTTTCGTCAAACGTCACAACATGAATCTGTGTTAATGTTTCCTGACCTGCATTCTGATCAGTATTTATAAACCCACTTTTGATTCAGTAAGATTATTGAATCAATAGAGTGAATAATTCTGAATAGAATAAGCGATTATTTTATTGATCGATTAATCTGATAAAAAAAAGGCACATTCTGCTGAGTTTTCATTTTTACCACTTAAGCCTTTTTATTCAATATTAGAAATGTTAAAAGATGCTGATAAACAAATATTTCAATTATTTTTTTAATAAGAACATGAACATTGATTGCCTAAAATGCAATGACAAAGCAATACTGCTGTGTCGTTTGATCATTTGTACCAAAGGATCCATCTGCAGCTAAAAAATATCCTAACATCAACATGAGAAAATTTTACATTGACTTAAATGTTTCACTTTTTTTTTTTCTTAACAGAAACATTTAAATAATGTACTGAATTATAAATGCATCTGATAACTCTGCACCAGTACAGCAAAATTAAATACACCAGCAGCTTCACAGACTTGGTGAAACATGGAAAAACAACTTTGATTTGTTCAGTCAGTGCAGTTAGGAGTAGAGCAGCCAGTGTAGAATAAATAAGACACTGACAGAGAGGATGACTATCTCGGTCAAACATGTAGAAATAAACTTTACCAAACCTTCTGTCAAATGATTCAAAAAGTGCAATTAGAAATTCTAAATATAATTAAAATAAATAACAAAGCCTGACATTGCTCAAAGCTTAAGTTATAGAATTGGACCGAATAGATCTGCCCTCATGGATAAGCCACATCATCACTAATCAATCTAGAAGTCTTTCAATATCTGGATTGAAAGAATGACTATTAATCCGATATTAATCTCTGTATATTGTACAAAACCCGCTTAAATGTAAAATCTGCAGAATGCACCTCTTGTGTTATCCGATCAATTGATTGCCAGAATAATAGATATATTAACTGATAATTAAAATAATTGTTAGTTACAGTCGTAGTTGGAATCCTGCTAACAGTTTAGCTTCATCATCACCATCAGAGCAGACGAGTGCTGAGCTGTGATTGGTGGTAAATCTGTTCCATGTCTGTGCTGCTCAGCTCCTGCATAAAGGTGGTCCGTTCATCAACTCCCTGCTGCACCTGGAGGAGCTGGGCTTCCGAAGCTCCTCCCCCACCATCAAGAAGATCGCCTTCATCGCCTGGAAGAGCCTCATCGATAACTTTGCTCTCAACCCAGGTGAGCTGACCCCGCCCCCTCTCCTCCAACACGTCATCCTCCTCCTCCCTGCTTCTTGTTGCCTGAGGTGTGAATCCCTTCCAGACATCCTGTGCAGCTCCAAGCGCATGAAGCTGCTGATGCAGCCGCTCACCTCCATCCACGTCCGGACGGAGGCGCTGCTGCTCACCAAGGTGGAGGTGTGGTGGTACCTAATCGTGCAGCTGGGACCCAATCTGTCCTCCAACTTCGATCAGGTCCAGATCGCCTGCATCCGTCTGCCGGCCCCCTCCCCCACGTGACAAGTGTGTGTTCAGTGAGATGACACCCCTTGTGTGTGTGTTTTGTCCCCTGCAGGTGTCTGTGCCTCTGCTCCAGGCGACCATTGGATCCGATTCGCCGTCCGTTCCAAACACTCCGTCTCGGGCCGCCGCTCAGAACGGAGTCGTGACTCCCAGCACTCCAAAATCAGGTTGGTTGAGTCGCTGAGCAGAAAGTTCCCACCGCAGGTGCAACCTCTGCAGGTTTCCTTTGGTGTGTGCAGGCAGCGGCAGCTTCAACACGTCGGCCAGCACGCCCCGGATGGGCCTGAACTCCAGCATGCAGCTTCCCGCCAGCTTCTCCTCCATTCAGCAGCTGGGCCTGGAGATGCTGCTGCACTACTTCCTGGGGCCAGAGGTCGTCGCTGCCGCAGCAAAGAACAAACTCGTGTTGAGTCTAGGTGGGTGAGAGAGAGAGCGAGACCTGTCCTGTCACCATGACCAACTGTACTGGACTGTAGGCTCTCCAATAAGCTACTGCCGTAAATTATGATGTTTTTGAGATCATTTTCTGGTAATATTATGGTAAAAGCACAATAATGCAAGAACACGATTAGTGAACTAGTCATTTCTACCAAACATGTAATACTGGAACTGGAAGACGTTTTAAATATCCAAAATAAATAAACGACAAAATCAATATCGAAGTCGGTAAACAGAATAGTTCTTGATGAAGGGACGAGTTTAGGCCAACACACCAGACTGACCAGAAAGAGTCGTACAAACGGAAATTATTGATCTTGTTTTAATTTATCATATGATTAATTTATTGATTATTGAAACCGGTTTGGTTAAAGGCGCAGACCTACTGTTTGTACAAGTTGTGCTGGCAGATGCACCGAACTGATATTATCTGTATTGGTCCCAATATTTCTAGATTGGTTATCAGTGACAAAGTCCCCGATTCACAAGGGTGGATCTATTCAGTCTGATTCTACGCTCTGTGTTCTGAGTGATGTCATGCTTTATTATTATTATTATTATTATTATTATTATTATTCAGAACTCCTAATTGCTCTTTCTGAATCATTTACAGAAGGTTTGTTGCACATTATTTTACATGTTTGACCAAGACAGCCAACCTGTTGCTTTAGTCCATTTCAGTTTCTTTATCATTTATTCTACATTGGCTGTTCTACTCCTAACTGCACTGACTGAACAAATTAAGTTGGTTGTTTGATCAAGTCTGTGAAGCTGTTGGTGTATTTCTGTGTGCTGTACTGGTGCAGAGTTATCAAATGCATCTGTAATTCAGTTTATTTATGTCTTATGATTTAAAAAAAAACGTTTTAATCAATCCAGAACCGTTTCTCTGTATCGGATCGGTATCGGCCGATACTAAACTTCACATATCGGGTATCTGTATCAGAATTTTAAAAAGTGGATGGGTGATCCTTAGTCCTGCTGTCCACTACCAGTGTCCTGACAGTGTGGAGAAGTCTAGGATAGAAATATCTATCTTATTCTGATTATCTTGGAAAATGTGCTTCCAGATATGTTTGTGTCAGTTCCTCTGCTCTATCAGCGATCCATCTGTCCGTCCGTCCAGCCTCTGTCCAATCTGTGGTTCTTACAGATCCTATTTCTTAAGCTTGATCCTTTAATCCCAGAATCAGGAGGAACTTTGATGTTTTATGCTTTAACAGTGTGCTGCCACCTTAGAATTATAGAAATCCTGTTTGACATGCATTCCTCTGTTAGAATGAATCCAAGTTCTGGTTATTGTGCTGCGCAGCTGGCCTTGTTTCAGTTTTACTCTGAACGGAAGTAATTCTTAATAACATCTCTGTCTTGTTTTTGATGCTGTGAAGCCAATTTTTGACTTAAACCTGCAGGTCAGAGGTCATCTGCTATCAGATTGGTGATTGGATAAAGTTTTTTTCTTTTTCTTTACTTGCTTCCAGAACCTCTGACCCACCCGCTGCTCTCTGGTGCTCCGTCCTTCATGAAGCACGCGGCCGTGCTCATCTCCACCATGAGGGAGAGCTTCATAAACGCCGGCAAAGACGCTCCAGGTACAGAGACTGAGCTCATCAACTTCTGGAGCAGGTCACGCTCAAGATGGCTAAATGTGTTAATCTTTAGTCCGAGTACTGCTTGCTTGGTCTGTTTTTATGTCCATCACTGACTTCTGGAAAATTCTGATACTTTATTTATTTATTTTTTAAGTTTCAACAGAATGACTTTCTCCCCCAGATCTGTAAACTTGCAGTAAGGGCCACTCTAGATGACATGAACCAGATGTTTTCTCTCCTCTGTCCAGATTACCTGCTAGTCTGATTAGGATTAGAAAGCAGCAGAGCAAGCGACCCTCTCAGTGGTGACATCATTCAAAAATACTTAATTGATTTAACAAATGAAATATGAACGCCACAGAGCAATGTTGGCAGATCGATGGAAACCATATTATAATAAGTTCTGAGCTAATCCTGAATATAAACTTTCATTTTTTCTTCCCGCCTTCAGAGCCGCTGCTGGCCGTCATCTGGACCAGCCTGGTCCGGTTTGTTAGCTTGGCCATCGAGTCAGGTAAGCGCTTGTCTAGCTAGCTTGTAGCTGGTTTAGTGCGATACAGACCGCCATGTAAACACACGGCGGTTAACAGGAGCTGCTCTGCTCTCGGTTCAGGTTCCGTTACCTCCAGGTTGATCTGAGCAGAACCGACTCTGCACCTCGGTGTGTTTGAAAACTGTTTCAGATCAGACATGTCTGTCTGAGGCTGTCGGCCTCATCAAACCTGTTGTCAAATGTTGCTTTTGATAAAAAATAAAAATATACTATAAAAATGCAACAAATTGAGCGTCTAGATTGTCAGACCAGTTCTCCAGTTGTCGAGCACGGTGGTGGCTGGGTGGTGATTTGTTGCTGACCTTGAGCTCTGTGTATGTGTGTGTGTGTGTGTGTTGCTGTGGCTGCTGCTCAGCAGGCAGCTCTCCAGTCGTGGGTCCAGCCTTTGCAGCGCCACACAGAGGAATCTGACTGGGTTGGAGTGACTCTAGAGATCAGGGTTGGTTAGCCTTCATCCTCATCTCCTGCACCACCCAGTCTCATCATCATCATCATCAGTTTAAGTCTGAGCCTACTGCTCTGTTTTGTAGGCTGCAGTGAGGACAGTGAAACCCTGAGGGGCGTGGCCCCGATGATGACTCTTCTCAACATCTAGAACCAATCGGATGTCTGTCTCTGCTGGGTTTGAAATGATGTGTGTGTTTCAGCAGGCGGTAAGAAGGAGCGGCAGGGCAGCGAGTGTCTCACCCTGATGCTGCAGGCGCTGGAGAGCGTGGTTTCCTCCGAGGCCCTGCCTGCAGACAGAGTCCTGGTGAGGCCGATGGAACATGAGGTCGGGCCCAGACCCGGTCAGAACACCGGCCCCTCTAACTGTGGCCCCTGTCTCCCCCTGCTGCAGGTTCTGTTGGAGGCCACAGTGAAGGGTCTGCCTCCAAGAGTGCTGGGCTCCGCCTCCTACCAAGTGGGGAAGATGGACGTTCTGAATGTGAGGGTTTGTGGTTTGTGACGGTGTGTGGACGGTGGGTTCAGGATGACGATGACGTCTGTTTGCCTCTCCAGGGAACCCCGGCTCTGTTCGTCATCCTCCTGCTCTTCAACAACAGACTGCCGGCCTACCTGGAGCACGACAGGTAGCTCTGCTCTCCAGCCTTGCCACAGAAACACTCAATGCGTTCCTGATGAGTGATTCTTTATTTTGTGGCAGCAGGTTCTTCCAGTGCCTCCAGGCTCTGGTGTCATGTGGCCTGTCCGGACCCACATCTCCTCTGGCCTTCGCCGAGGCGGTGCTGGGCGTCATGAGTGGCTGTGCGGCGTCTCTGCAGAACAAGGAGCTGCTCTGGAGGATGTGGAGTTTACTAGTCGGCCCTCTGACTGACACCATCACACAGGTGACCTACACCTGGGTCAGACGGCACCGCCAATCTGCCCGTCACTTAAAGTCCAGACATCATGAGGCTTTCTGCAAGCAGGAACATTCTGGTTTTTATTTCTACACTCCAACTCGACACACAGGGCTTCAAAGTAGAGACGGACTGAATCTGATATTAATATCTATACTGGCAACAATATTGAAAAAAATTCTAGATGGGTTGAAATTGTGCCTGATCCACAAGGGGCAGATCTATTTGGTCTTAATTCTATGCTTTGTGTTCTGAGTGACATCGTGGTTTATTATTTATTTTACATTATATGTAGAATTTCTAATTGCACTTTCTGAACTGTTTGAAAAGTTTGTTACAATTTATTTGTATATGTTTGGCCAAGATAGTCGGCCTGTTGTTTCAGTTTGTTTTACGTCGGCTGTTTCAGTGTGCTGTACTATTCCAGAGTTATCAGATACATTAGTAGTTCAGTACGTTTGTCTGAGTTTATTGAAACAAAGTTTTCAGTCCGTCCGTCCAGCTGTTTTTCTGTATTGGATCAGTATTGGCCCGCATTTTCAGCATATAAGATCGTCTTTTATGCTGACGATCAGCATTAAGGGAATCGAGGCCGATTTATTGGTGAACCTCAACTGCAAAGTCACAAAAAGTAAAAGTGCTTCCTGCTATTTAGAGTCTGAGTCTCCAATAGTCGATCTGATCCCAAATTCTGTATTTAGAACCTGGGCACGACGTCCAGGCGTGAATCTATACAACTGCATTTCTACGTTGAGGCTTTTAAACGTTATTAGTTCCAGCTTAAGACTAAAACAGTTCCTTCACCTCTCAGGTTTTCAGAATTTGAGCTGAAACTAGATGTTGCCGTACTTCATTTGGTTCTGGTCCTGGAAGCTCTGCAGCAGCATTTCGGATGACCTGCAGCTGCCTGATTTTAATTCATTTATTATATTTACACAGATCATTGAAGACGATATTTAAACCTTTTTTTAAAGCCATATAGCAGTTTTTCTGTCTTGTTTTGACAGGAAACTCTGTATTCTGACAATGTTTCTAAGTTCAAAGGGTTTGGATCAGAGTTGCTGAAATATTATAATTAACCTTAATAAATGAATCTGTTACTCCGTCCCTCCCACAGTCTAATGAGGTGAACCAAGGTGACGCTCTGGAGCACAACTTCAGTGCCATGCACTCTGCCCTGATGTTCCCCATCACTCACCTCCTCCAGCAGGTCTGTCGCTGTGCGTTTTAAATGAGCCGTCAGGTAACGGCGGCGTCCTGCTAACCCGAGTGTCTGCTGTGGCCTCAGGCGTCCCAGAAGTCCCTGCTCTCCTCGTGGTCCAAGCTGTACCGCGTGTTCGCTCGCTGCGCCGCCCTGGTGGTGACGGCTGAGGAGAACATCTGCTGCGAGGAGCTCTGTGTGAAGATGGCTGCCGCTGCAGACAGAGAGGCGCTGATGGTGAGTGATGAGGTTTTTTTCTGCCAGTCTGCTGAGACTTTTCTTCTTTTTTCCACAGTTTTCACTCCATGTCTTTTTTTTATTTTTATTATTTTTAAGCAGTCGTGATTCATGGTGGTGAAACACAAATCTGTTAGCGCACAATTTACTCAACAGGTTGTTGCTAGGCAACCAGAGTGAGCGAGTTAGTTCAGTGCTTTTCAGAAAGTTGGAGACAAAATTAGGAAAAAAAAAGAAAAAAGCAAAAATAGCTGAGTCTTGTAAATGTTTTATCTAAAAATTTTCATCGTAATTTTTCAGCCAGGAGCTGATACTGAATTGGTGAAAAGCATTATAATACTTAATGTCTGATAATTCAGAAGTCAGATCTCACTAACACTAAGCAAACCAAATAAACTACAAACAAGTCATAAAATGATTCCTTCATCAATGATGAATACACATCTGCATATTTAACAGCCATGTTTTTGCCAAATGTGCAAACAGTTTAGAACTAGAACATGTTAAAATCTCATTTGGCAAACTATTCGTCATGACAACAGAGAAGGCACATTTTACTAAAAGCAGTTGTGTATTTTGGGGGATACTGCACTCGCCTCTAGAGGGCGCCCTTGTGACTCCAGTCATGTTGCCTGATCTCAGAGAGACTCGCTTATAGGTGGAGCAGCAGTGTCATGAAGAATTGTAAAAGCTACACAAACGTCTAACTCCAAAAGCCGTCTGACCCTGCAGGTCCCGTCCACGCTGAGCGCCGTCTCCAGCATCCTGCAGGTCATGGTGGAGTGTGTGGACTTCTCTCCGTACACGCCTCACTTTCAGCAGAAGCTGAAGTGTAAGTTTCTTTTAATTTTTTTTCCTCACTCTTCATTGTGCGGTCGTGCCAATCTTATCTTAACACCTGCTTCCTCCCAGCTCCTCACACACCAGTGAACTGGACGCGGAAGCGGAGCAAGGCCCTGGGGAACCTGTCTGCCTTCCTGTCCCTGCTGGTCCAGAGTCTGCAGGCGTACCTGGAGGCCCCCGAGGCGGCCCCTGACGCCACACCCTTGGCCCTGCTCTCCATCGTGTCCACTCTCTTTGCCAACCTCGTCCTGGCCAACGCCGTCTCCGAGGTGCTGGGTGCGCTCGTCCAGCCTCTGGCGCTCTTATATAAGCGCGCTGTGGGCGGAGATGCTGAATTCTCCCCTCAGCTCCAGGGAAAGGTCAGCACTTCACCTAACCTGTCCATGAAACCATCAGTTTGGTGTAGAGAGGCACCGATCCAATATCAATCTAAGAGTTATTCAAGGGCAGTTTTGCTTACAAAACTTCATGATCCATCTCATTATTTTGTCTTCAGTCAGATGCCTCTTCAGATTCTCTGTAATACAGAGAATCTGTAAGCTGTCTCCAGCTGTCCTGCCGACAGCCATCACTATCTAAAATAATTTGAATTAATGAGTTACAAGAACATTTAATTTCCCTTTGAGATCAATGAAGTATTGTTGAATTGAATTATTTATTTTCTTTGGCTATGTAAAATGTCTTCTAGTTCCAGTGTTAAGAGTTTATCAATATATTACTGGAAGATGGTCTCCAATCAACAATACTATTGTTTATCACAATAGTTTCTGGCACAATTTATCAAGCAAATTCCTTATTGTGACAGGCCTAGCTGTTTTACTGCTAGTTACACTGACTGAACAAATGAAAGTTGGTTTTCCATGCTTAGCCAACCTTGTGAAGCAGTTGCTGTGCTAAGGTGAGCTGCTCTGGTGCAGAGTCAGCAAATAAATGTGTAATGTTTTGTCTGTGTTTATGAAACAAATGTTTTGAGTCCGTTCAGCTGTTTCTCTATATCAAATCGGTATCAGCCGATACTAAACCTCCGATATGCGTATCGGTATTGGAAGTGGAAAATAGTGGATCGATGCATCCCTAGTTTGGAGTGTGTGACTGTGTATGTGTGTGTGTGTGCTGCAGCTGGAGAAGCTTCTGTGTGAGGTCCTGGGCTGCCTGCAGTCCCGCTCCACTCTGGCCTACGACGACGAACTGCTGGCTCTGCTGTCTCCTCTGCTGTGTGTCGTGTTTCCGCACAAGAACAAGCATCTGCGCTCAGCCGTCGCTCAGTTCTGGAACGCCACCTTTGCCAACACGGTCAGCCTTGCGTATCCCGAGGAGCTCAGGTGATTGTCTTCGACGTGTCGCCATAGTGACGCCCGGTTTCTGATCATTAATGGCAGTTTGCTTCCCGCAGGCCGGTGCTGAGCCAAGTGAAGCAGAAGACTCCGATCATTCTTCCAGGCTTTGAGGCCGTTGGCGTTCCTGATGAGCTCAGTGAGACCTATTCAGTAAGTTGCTCCATGTATGTATTGTTCTGGCCTCAAACCTGCAGTGTTGTAATTTCTATAAAATGTTTACATATTAAAACTGTCACCATGTCGTGACTTCATATGAGACAGATGAGCTGTGAAAAAAATCAATCTCCTCCACGTCCTCCCTTTGCCTCTGTCTGAAGAAATGCACCTGTCCCACTCAAAAAGAGCCAATCAGAGCCAGGAGGCGGGGCATGGTGCTGTGCATATACAATCGAGCTTGTAAGCACACAGCTCAATGTGCACAGAACCAACTTACATGTTTAGATCAACAGTTCATCTGCTGTCACCAATAGCTAACTAGCATTAGCATTCATGCAGGCTGTGTTGTGGTGAACCAGGTGTAGCTTAGCAGAGAGAAAGTGGGAAAGTGTTAGCATCACTTACTGGAGTGCCAAGACCCTCCTCCTGGCTCTGATTGGATGTTTCTGACTGAGTGGTGTGTTTCTGTAGTTAGAACTGGGAGAAGGCAGAAGAACTCCCAGATTATCAGTCTCAGACTATATGACAGTTCTGCAGCCGGCGGCTCTTTGGTCCTGCGGCTCTTTGGTCCTGCAGTGGTTCTGAATAACCTTGTCTAAAAATGATGAAGACCCAACTATTGTTTTTCAATACCGATATAACACATGCAGGTTTTTATCCGTTTTTTCTGCAATACTCGCATCGGATGTCCACAACGAATTACACTATAAGTTATCAGTAATATGTTTTAAGATCTGTTTTTCTTGTCATTACTTTAGAATTAGTTTTTATTTTTTTACATCATTTTACACACCACAGAATGATCCATCCTCTGTTTTCAAAATATTATTCTAATCTTCATTTTAAATTAATTTTAAAAAATGGGAACAAAGTGGTGGTTCTTTAAAAATTACACCAAATTTCCTGTATTATGCCTGAGAGCAAAATATTTCTTTAGGTTGTAAAAGTGTTTTAACAAATATATAAATGTTTTTTTGGGGGTTTTTTTTAAATGAAAGTTTAATGTAATGTGTGTGTTCAGAGTGAAAGCTCTCAGCTTGAGCCGAAGCTCAGTGGGATGCCCATTTCTTCTGCTGGGAAGAGAGACTCCATGCTCAGAGCTGAGCTGAAGGACCGCACCGCCACAAAGACGGCCAAGCCGGTTCCGGTACGTTCTGCACCCACACGGTTCACGTCACACAAATTGACATGCATTCTTTCTCGGCCTGAAACGTCTGAATAGAATAGAATCCAGAACCTCCAAATGCCCCAAGTGCAACTGAGTCACATGTTCTTTAGAGGAAGAGCAGCTTAAAGGAGGGCAGGAGCACAGCAGGCAAGGCAGGGGGACGGCGTGGAGACGGTTGGGTGTCAAAACAACACCTGTTGAATCCATCCAAGTGGGAAGCGTTACAACCCAAACTCAAACCTACCAAAACCTGACGGGTCACTGAAACTAACGTGATTAATCATTTGGTTCTGCTTCATTAGTAGCGAATCTGAAGGAAGGTGCTGATCTGTACAGAAGCCAACTCTCCTCCCTGGACTCTGTGTTCACAGTGCTGTGATGAATGATGTAGGATGGCCTAATACTAATAATAAATAAGCAGTCCTGCCTTTTCATGCGACTTAAATTTTAAATCCAACTGGATCTCTTACATTTTTACTGTTTTTATTTCTTGATGAAAATGTAAATTCATTCAGTTGTCATTTAGAATGATTTGAGTTTGTTAGTTTATTTGTAAAATATTTTTGTCATACTTTTAGTGTCTGAAAATGAAACTGTTTTGCACAGGCTGTGACTATTTCAGGCTCCAAATGCACAAAACTGGAGAGAGATTAACCAAATGAGATAAGGCTGTAACTGATGATTCTACAAAGTATTGACTCAGGCTGGCTGAATACACACACACACACAAAAGCCACTATTTCAATATGTTTTTCTTTTGTTTTTTTATAAATTAAAGTCAGCTTTTTTTTCCAGTTAGGTTTTTGAGCAACTTCATGTTGGTCTGCCACCTAATAATTTTCTCTGTGGAATTTTAACCATCAAGCTACTCGAATCATTGGACAAATCATTCCAGCTTTGGTCTGGTTCCTGCCCACTTTAAGTTCTTTAACCTTCTATGTCAGAAGTTGTTAGGTTGGTCTTTAGCACTAAATCCAAACAGAATCAACATGATGACAACCAAAATGCTCTACTCAGCTCCTGTTCCACGTTGAGGGGAAAAGCAGCTTAAAACGTCTCTATTTTATTTTTCTTCTTTCTGCAGATGAAGCTGGACTTTGGTTCTCCCAAACCTCCTCGCAGGGACGTCCTGGAGGAAGAGGCTTCCATCGACTTTGTCTTCATTCCTCCTGAGGCAAAGGAGAGGGTTCTGACCGAGCACCAGAAGGAGGTGAAAAGAACCAAAAGGTCAGATTCTTCCCCCCTCCTCTCCACCAGTCATTCCTACTGTATCCTGTTCCCATGGTGATGCTGATGATTCCTCTGGTACAGGGTTGATATTCCGGCCATGTACAACAACCTGGACGCTTCTCAGGACACGACCGTTTTCAGTCAGTACACACAGAACCAGGACGACTCTCTGTAAGTTCACCTGCTGTAATGTGAGCAAATTTCCTCTGTGGGATTTAAAGGCTCTTGTTTAACAATCAGTATTTCTTCAGGGATAAAGTTCCAGCTGAGCAGGTCGGTGACGTCCCACCAGAAGCTCCCAGTGAGGTAACGAAGCATTAAAACTCTACTGGATGTCAGTGTTTGTGGCCGTCTTTTGTTGAATGAGTCTAGAACAGTGTTCCTCAGTTCCAGTCCTCAGGGACTACTGCCCTGCTTACTTTAAATATGTCTCTGTTCCATAACAGCTGATTCAAATGACTGCAACATATAATGCTGCATTAGCTGTGGGTGTCTTTAAAAAACAAATTATGATTTCCTTGAAGTTGTTGAAAGTTTTTAATTTTTTGTTATACCTTTCTGTGGCCACTGTGTGAATCTACTGTGTGCAGGGGAAAAAAAAAACTGTATCCTGAGCAGGTCATTGCAAAATCCAAGCGCTTCAGAGTCTCCATGTTTAGCTTTGACTACATTTGACCTTTTCCACCCTGGTTCAAATTTGTGTTTGAAAGCTTTATATGGATGTTCTTGCACCGGCATGTGTCCACTCATGTCTGCAGACAAGTTAACTTCTTTGTGTTTTCCTTAATGTTTTTCAGACAGAAGAGAAACCTAGAGAAGATGCTGAAATTCTTTGTAAAGAAACTCAAGACTACGCCAGTCCTAAAAATGATGAGAAAATGGAAGAGGAGAGCATCCCGGGCTCGGCAGACGTTTTTCTGGAGGAGCCTACAGAAAGGACTGAAGACATGGACGTCGAGTCAAAAGACAGTGAGAGTCCAAACACGTCTGCTTCTTCTGATTTGGTGTCAGGGACTCCTCAAAAACCCAGCAGCCGGCGCCAGTCATTTATTACCTTGGAAAAGTATGCCGAGGGAAAGCCGGCCAGTCCCAGCATTGGATCCTCTTTTACAGGTCCTCTTGCAAAGACGTCCAACAGTCAAGGTCACTCTAGTGAGAAGAACATATTGTCCCCTGAGGCCTCACAGACATCCATAGAACCAAACTCTCAGGGTCCCACTCCTTCGGAAACGATTGGTCCTGGAAGCGAGTCTCCTCGGAGGCCCAAAGAGTCGAGGACGAGAAGTGAGCCGGTAAGACTGATTGAGAGAATGCAAAGTGACTCGGCAGAGGAGGAAGATGTTATCCCTGACACGCAGACGAAAGAAGAGGACAAAGAGAGCACTAGTTACTCTGAAGAAATCAACTCTTCCAGTCAGGATGAGGAATCTGAAACGGTGTTGGATGATTCCCAGTCGTCTCAGACCCAGACGCCTTCAGGTGAACCAAGACGATCCAGACGTCACAGAATAAGACCTCAGCTCCCTGTAGAAGACCCAGACGACCGTGAGGCAAAATACACACACGTCAAAAGAAGACGTTCTGGAGAAGATGCAAAAAGTGAATCTTCAAATTTGGCACCAAGCAGACCGAACACAAGAAGTAAACAGGCTGCGGAGGAGAACAGTAGCAGAATCCAGCTGCGATCAAAGTCTCAAGGTAACGCCAATGAATCTAGCCAAAGTAACTCTCAGGTTAGACACCGAAAGAAGATCAAACTTTACAGCCTTTCAGAGGATCTTCTTGGATCTCCTGAGCGTAAAAGGAGAAGCACCAGTGGGCTGGATTCTAGTCAGACTGACATCAAATCAGAATCACTCTCCGGTCACGAAAGCCAAACACACAGAAAACGCAATGAGGTTAGTAAAGTTTCAAAGGAGGGTGGCGACGCTGAAAAGCCCAAAGAAGGATCCAGCCAAACTGATACAGCGGATATGGTAGATCTGTCTCAGAAAGACGATCCCTACTCAAACACTGACTCCCAAACGGTCGTACCTTTGGCTCAGACTGAAAAGTCTGAGGAGGTAAAGTCTGAAGGAAAGACTGAACAAGGTGAGAGCCAAAAGGAAGAGCAAGATGTTCTCACATCTTCTCCCCAGGGTGAAGACAAATCTCAGGAAAAGATGGATTCTGATGCAGTCATGTCTTCTCCAGTGGAAGAGTCCAAAGGTGAAACTAGAAATTTGCAACAGAGTCAGGAAATTATGGAAGACAACTCCACAGAAACTGTGATTGACAACTCTAGCCAGGAAGACTCCCAGGCCACGCCTTCATCGTCTGACAGTCAGATCAGACGAAGATCCAGGCGAAGCAAAGCAGCAGAGACTGAAGACAAAGACGATAGCATCAACTCTTCAGGACGGTTGACACGTTCTCAGACGTCCACTCCTGTCAATCAACCTGAAGCTGGAGTTGGAGGTAGGACCAGAAGGAGCAAGCTGGAATCTAGTCAAAGCTTAACCCCAGAAGGTTCTCAGTCATTAGATTCATCAGGATCAGGGTCGTCTCAAGGCAAGGGCAGACTAAGATCCTCCAGGTCATCAGCACCCAGTGTGGAGACGCCAGAGTCAGAGTCCTCTGAAGTCCTAGTAAACGCCGTTCGCAAAAAGAGAGGGAGGAAGCTTCAAGCGTCTCTGAAGAGTCCACTTCCTCTTGAAACAAAGGAGGAGATGCTGGAAGATGCTTCTCAGAATTTGGAGACACAAAGCAGTTTAGAAGAATCGTTAGAGACTCGAGATTCAGAGAAATCGGGAAGCAAGACTGAGCCAAATGAGGAAGAGTCTGAGTCCCCAATGATAACTGAGACACCGGCTGATTTACCTCTGGAGATGGAAGATCCAAAGAAGGCAGAAAGTGAAGAGGCAAGCCAGGATACCAGGTCACTGAGCACGACTAAACAAAGAGACTCAAACAGTGAAAAGGATTCATTACAAGAAGTAGAAGTGCGTGAATCTTCTGTGTTTGGAGACGCACCAGCACAGGATTCATGTCTGCCGGCTGAGGAGAAACTGCCAACCTCAGAGACGTCCGAAGAAAAAGCAGAAAAGGTTTCTGAAACTGGAGGAGTTACTGAAAAACAGGAGGAATCAAATTCAGACCAGCAAGACCTTCCAGCTCCTCCTTCAGAAGAACCCCCTCCTGAGGAGCTTCAGCAAAGTCAGATGGAGTGTGCACAGATCACTGAGGAGGAGGAGGAGCCATCTGCCACACACCAGGTCTCGGAGGCCAGTGCTGAGGAGGACATTACTCTACAAGACAATGAAGACGGTCAACCTGAGACATCTGAGGACAAACTCGAAGAGGCACCTGCCACCGAAACGTCGGGTGCTGCTGGACTGGACTGCACCACTGCAGCGTCCTCGCAAGCTGCTGCCCAGGACTCTCCAGTTAAACAGAAAGACCTGGAGGCTTTGACGGAACCAGAAGTCGGACAAAGTCCCAGCAACGGGCGGTTGAAGGGAACATGGTCTCCTTCAGCTTCCCCTTCCACCAGCATCCTCAAGAAAGGCCAGAAGAGACCGTTAGAGGTGGAGACGACCTCTCCTCTTGTCAAGGTGAGTAACTCTACGTCCATAAGACTAAAGACTTGGTAAAACCTGTGATTTGTTTGTCATGCTTTCGTTGCTTTAACCTTCGCAGTCGCGCCGTGTATCTTTCGCTAACCCCATCCAACAGCAGGAGACGGCTGATGACATCGACCGGCGCAGTCCAGCTCTGAGGACCAGCTCTCCCAGGAGGTCCAAAGGATGCAACGTCGCTCAGCAGAAGGTATGCAAGAACCTGGGGATGTTATTTTACATGTGGAACAGACGGTTTCCCTAACGCTCTACCTCTTTACTCAGCACATTACAACTCCAACAAAAGGCGTGCTGGTCCTGAGCCCCAGAAATATCCACAGTCCAAGTTACAGGAGCTCCAAGAAGTGCCTGGTAGGTCGGCATGTTCTGGGAAGTATAGAGAACAACTTACTGCTTTTGCTGTAGCAGAGTTACAACAGAGTTGTAACCACTACATTGGATTTCCATATGTACTTTAATGCTCTTATTTTGAAACTTTTGAGCAACTGATTTTTTTTTTTTTGTGAAACTAGCCAAAATTCAAACTTTGCTGTGGATGTTTTCCATGTCAGCCATTTCTCAACAGAAGTGATTATTAGTTGTACATGAAATTTCAGATGTTTCTCTTTGGTCTTTCTCAGATTTCTGAAATGACTCAGGAGCCTCGAGCCGTGCCCAGGGACTGCATCTACCCGTCCCTGGTGGGCTGCTCGGCCCCCGTGGAGGCTGTGCTTTCTCAGATCTCTTCCACCATGTGGTGAGAGCAGCAGACGTCACACACTGAAACATTTTGACTTGCGTTCCTTAAGACAGTTAGACCGTAGCGTAAAATCCATTCAGCTTGGCCTGACAAGCTTCCTGTTGGTTAACCACACAGGTCTCGAGGATTCGGACAGCTGATTCGCGCTCGAAACGTCAAATCAGTGGGCGACCTCTGTGCCCTGACTCCGTCTGAGATCAAGACCCTGCCCATCCGATCTCCAAAGATCTCCAACGTCAAGAAGGCGCTGAAGATCTACGAGCAGCAGGTAACCCTCAGGTCACGACGGCGCAGGTCAAGTTGTCATCGGCGTGTTCGTAACATCTGAGCTTCTATCGTCCAGCGCAAAGGGAGAGCAGATGAGCTGAAGAGCTTCGACGAGACGGAGAGGATGACCTCTGAGGTGGAGGAGGCGGCCAGTCCTCGCAACCATGACGACGAGGAGAAGGCTTCAGCAGAGACACTGGGTGGGTAAACACTGGATGCCTTCAACAAAGCTCTCCTCCTCACAGATTACACTGGGTTACAAAAAGTATTTTTTGGAAGTTGTCTATGTTATTTCAACTGAATTATGACTATTTTGCACCACTGAATCCAAACATGACATCCATTTTTCTCAGTCAAGTCAGATTTTTATTCTAATTTGGCTTAGAGAAGTCTGATCTTCTGATCTTGTGACATTATCGGTTCATTTCTGCTAAAATTTCTCATCCAAAGAGAACAAAAAATAGTTTTCTAACAGAGTGTATTAATTAAATGTTTCGCACTTGGATTTCTGTAAATTGAATAATAAACATTTTTCAGGGTAAGTACATGTAAATTCAGCATTATGTCTTCATTGTGTAAAATTCTTCGACTTGTCCTGATGGAGTCTCTCCTCCTGCTCTTCACTCACTGATCAGATTCTCAGGAAACCGATCCAGATGTGAGAACAAGTCCTGCATTTTGATCCTCATGTTGCTCCATAATTCAGAAAGTTGACCTGATTGAGGAAAATCAATGAGATTTTTGGATTCAGCTCATCAAAATGACCCTAAAACTGTTGAAAAACCCCAGACAGTTTCTTGGCTGTTGACCAGTGGAATTTGTCTCATGGCAAACTGTCATTACATTGACAGCTTTAATAAATATGGAAAGAAACTTTTTGTAAAAGTTTGATATTGCAGCTGTAACTTCTGCTCACAGAATGTTGTTTTCCTTCATTTCTGCGTGTTCTTCATGTTTCCGCTCACAGCCACAGAGCTGGTGGACGAGCCGCTGCCTCCAGACGCCACGGCGGAGCAGCAGGACGGGGAGCGGCGACCTGAGGTGGCGGCGGCGGCGGCAGTGGACCCCGCTACAGAGCTGGCGGCGGCCGTGGAGGCTCTGGTCTGCAGTGCGACCCCTCTGGAGCTCAGCCGCTGCTCACCGCAGCAGCTGCTGCAGATGCACGAGCAGCTGGGAGGCATGATGAGGGGCATAGCGGTGGAGCTGCAGACGCGCCTCTGCCACGCCGACGACAAACACAGAGCGACTCTCGGGAGCGGACAGAGGCACTGAGGCTCAACGCAGCCTGCTGAGGAATTTGCAATAGAAGAATGAAGGTTTACCAACTGATGGAGGATCTTATGGGTTTCAATTTGGATCAGTTGAACTTTTTTTTTGTATCATTGGTTGTTTTTAATAACAGTTCATTTTCTGATAGAACTGTTGAGTAGATTATAAAATAAAACAATAATTTTAAGCAGCGTCGGATGTTTTTAAGCTGTTTCTGCATGAACTTTGTTTTCCCACTTTTGGATTTGACATGTAAATAAGAAGCGTTTCCCTCCATCTGGCTGATTTTAGGCTGCTTACAACTCACCTGTGGCGGTGTATATTTTATCAAACATCTTTTCCATCCCTTCAGTTACTTATTGTTTTCTTTTCCATCCCTTCAGTTACTTATTGTTTTACTTGTTTTTAACAGACTGCCCCACCCTGTGCTCTAGGCTTATTTTGTGGATTAAAATTCCTAAATAAAAACGGTGTAAAGACTTTATGCCGGATTTCTCTTGCTCGGTCATCATGCTGTATGCACCATTATGTATTTAGACCCTAAATGTGAATCCTTATAAAATTTGAAGATTTCTGGTGATGTGTATCTATGAGGATGGACATCACCCTTTATAACAGTAAGTACTTGTAAATTGAGTATTATGTCTTTACTATGTAAAATTCTCCGTCTCCTTCCTGTCCTGATGGAGTCTCTCCTCCTGCTCTTCACTCACTGATCAGATTCTCAGGAAACCGATCCAGATGTGAGAATGAGTCCTGCATTTTGACCCTCATGTTGCTCCATAGTTCAGAAAGTTGACCTGACTGAGCAAAACCAATAAGATTTTTGGATTCAGCTCATCAAAATGACCCTAAAACTGTTGAAAAAACTCCCAAACAATTTTTTGGCTGTTGACCAGTGGAATCTGAAAAGATCCACTGGATCCACCTGAGCTGTTCCTTTAGTGTGAACAGCTCAGGAAGGATCGCAGCTCAGGAGTGCACAGCTGCTGACCAAAAACAACCAATCAGAACCAGGAGGTGGGTCTTGGTGCTGTCAACCAACCGATTCACGTGTGTGCTGCCAAACATGTTCATGGTGGAGAAGCAACTCACTGCTGCAGGAAAACCGTTTGCCCGCCGTCATCGGTGGCCGTGCTAACTAGCTTTAGCATAAACGACAGGCTCCATTGATGAGAAGCTGTAGCTTAGCAGGGATAATTGACGGCGCTAGCTCATGCAGGCAGAGCGCCATCGCATGCATCCAAGCACTGCATTGCAGGGTTTTTCAGTGAAGGTAAAAAATATGGCGGCACGGCCCCTTCCTCACCTCACCTGACCTGACCCCATTAAAGACTCGTAGATCCTTCTGAAACCAGATTTACGGTGAAGGAGCTGAGCTCTGAGAGGCTGCTGCTACCTCCACCATCAGATCAGGAAACGGACAGATTCTCTGCTAATAAGAGTCTCTGTATCACAACACATGATGTTTTCAAAATGTCAGGTTTAGTTGTAAATTTTGATTTGATTTTGGATCCTCACTTTAGCAGCTGAAAACAAACAAGTGAGATGGAAACATTTGTCCATTTAGTTGCACAATAAATCTTCACACTAACAGATATTCTCCTAAAAGAGCCAAAAGCTCCCCTTTCTTGAAATATCAGGTTTACTAACAGAATCGATTGATCAGTAATAAAAATCCTCTAAACGACATCATGTCTAATAACGGCACACAGTGTCGCTGTAACAGCCGTGCCTCCACGCTGCCATCAGATCTGCTCTTGTTCTTCCATCGCCGTGCCAAAGTGAAAGCGTTCTTCGCTCAGATGCTGTGATGTGAAGAAGTCCGGACCTGAACCTGGTTGAAATGCTGCAGCCACACAGCGAACCGCAGGACAGGCTCTGAACTGCTGCTGACTGATGAGAGGAAGACCTACTGAATCATGGAGTTTCATCCCACTGCTTCTTGCTTTACTGTCATTGTAATAACACTGTAATATGGGACAATGTTGTACCTCTGATGTGCTTCCTGTGTTTTTAGATCTGGAAAAGCCCAGATAGTCCATCTGTAACCTGACAAGTGAAAGGGTTTGTGTGTGTGTGTGTATGTGTGTTTCTGCCATCCTGCTGTAGTAAATCTGTTGGCTGCAGCAGTGACAGGCTGACATATAACAGCTAACAGGAAATGCCAGTGACTTCTCCCTGCTCTGAGCTTTGATGAGCAGGCTCCTCTTTGGCTCAGTGTTTAAGTAATTATCTGATTTTTTTTTTTTTTTTTTTTTTTTTTTTTTTCTCGCTCCGCACCGGGGGCTGGCCCCCTTTTACCACTTTTTTGTAAGACGCCGCTGTGGCGG